GTTTTAAGACTGTTTAGTTTGGCTTTAACAAAACACTCATCGATTACATCAAAAGCAAACATTACGCCAGATTCAAGATGGTCTTTACAAACGGCAGCTGTGATGGTAGACGTAACTGTGCGAAATTTATTAACGAGTGTTAAACCAATAGTCGAAAAATGATTATTGAGAATTTCGTAGATTTGCCAGGGTTCGGTAGATGGAGTTCCATCGACTTCAATACATGAAATGTTCGAGCTCGATTTACGTGAAGTAATTTCATTGAGGTGTTTCCAGAGAGTGTTTGGATTATTTTTAGAGATTTCAATAAGATTAAGGTAGTATTCCAATCTACTCTTTTTGACTTGTCTATTTAGGAAAGTTATTATTATTATTATTATTATTATTATAAATTTCCAAAGTAGTAACAACTGAATTACTTTGGAATTACAGGGTATAAGAACATAGGTATTCAATCTATTCTATATTTACAGGTAAAAATAGGCAAGTTAGATAAAAATAACGATAATAATCTAAAGTTTACTTATTATTATAAGCACGAGACGCAGCAGGAATGAAACTGTTCGAAAAACGTTCAGTTCTACACCTAGGTACTAATAAGTTGGGATAAGACCTCAGATTATAACTTTGAAGACTTTTAGGCGGTACTAAGGCATTCAGTTTATGAGTGGGTTCCAACATCTTCGAAAAATGTCGCTTGCAAAGAACAGTTCTACGTTCGTAAAGAGTCATCAAGTTAGCTTTAAGCAAACATTCAGCATAGATAGTTCCAGGGAAAATAATTTTTAATGCCCTTTTTTGTATTTTTTCAACTTGATCACTCAGGTAATGAGGAAGGCCATAATGCCACACCTGACAAGCATATTCGACAATTGGTCGAATATGTGTACAATAGGTTGAGATCAGAATATGAGAAGGTAAAGCATTTTTTTTAAGAAGGCGCAGACGGTACAAACGCTTCGCGGCTTTCTTGCAAATGTAGTCAATATGGCAGTTCCATTTGAGGTCGTCCGAAAGGACAACGCCCAATAGTTTGGCCTCGGAAACGACGTCGACCTCTTGACCGCGAATGGTAATAGGGGCAAACGATGGAGTAAGCTTAGAAAAGCAGACACGCAATTCTTTGGTCTTTGATACGTTTAACTTCATATTATTATCTGATGACCATTCAGAGCAGCTGATTATGTTAGCGGGTAACTGGGAAGGGGAATTGTATGATATTATTTCCCAAAGGCTAGTATCATCGACAAATTTAATAGTTTCATCCACTACAGCCAAGTCATTTATCATGATCAAAAATAATAGCGGGCCAAGCTTCGTTCTTGTGGGACGCCGGCGTTTAAAAACTTCCACTCAGAAAAGAACTGACCAACACGGGTTCTTTGTTGTCTGTCTGTTAGGAAGTTTGCGATCCAGTTGAGTAACACGGGATGAATTTCCATGTCTTTCAATTTTTCCAACAGAATGTTATAATCTAATCTATCAAACGCCTTGGAAAAATCAAGTAAACAAATCCGTATAGTGTTACCTTGTTTGTCAGCTGCTTCAAACCATTTATGTAGCATGTAGATTAATGCCATACTAGTGCTTGAACCCTTCAGCGAACCAAATTGCAAGGAATCAATTTTTTTTGAGACGGAGTCAAGTAGCCATTTGTAGGGAAAGGATTCAAGAATCTTGCTGATAATTGATGTGAGGGAAATTGGTCTGAAGTCAGAATCAATATCTTTAGGAGGCGAAGATTTTTGAACTGGTGTAATATTTGCTGCCTTCCATATTGAGGGAACAAATCCTTCACGAACTGATGAATTAAAAATAGAACACAAAGGTCGACACATTTATATTTGGACCAGTCAGAAAGAGAATTAGATTTGGTAGCTTTACGGAAAGAGCGGTCGCGTTCCTGCATTGATGTTTTCAACTCGGATGTCATCCAAGGAACATGACAACCTTTTATCCTAGTTCGTTTCGTAGGGGCATGACGTTCTGCAACATCTAAGAACAGCTTATTCCAAAAGTTTACTGCGGTATTAATATCGGGGATTTCAACAACAATATTCCAGTCTACGTTCCTGAGCTCATCCAGAAATGCTTCTTTAGAGTAATTTTTATAGGAAGTATATTCGATTGTTCTGCCTGGACTCTTTGTTACACCAGCCTTGACAACACAGTAAATGAGAGAGTGGTCGCTGATATGTACCGGTAACACACCACTTGATACAATGCGATGTTTATTATTAACAAACAAGAGATCAACTGCTGTTGATGAGAGTTCGTTTATCCGCGTTGGAGTGTCGATGAGTTGGTTTAAATTGTTTGTACTAGCAAAAAGATTAATTTTTTGTTTCAGGCTGTGACTAGAAGTGTTTCTTTTGGCAAAGACGTCAACGTTAAAGTCACCGAGTAAAACTAGTTCAACGTCCTGGGGAAGTAAGGAGATCTTTGAATTTAAAGTATCGATGAAATTGGGTAATGGTGCATCAGGGGCTCGATAGATTGACCAGATGAGCATGTTTTTACATTTCGGCCGATTGAGTTCAAGGACACAAGACTCTGTGTTCTCATCTTGCAAGTCAGGCCGTGCTCGATAGGGTAAGCCATATTGACAAACTACAAACAAAGGATACATGTCTGTAACAGTTCAAGACTGCCGATGCGCTGAGAATCAAATAGTTTTGTCGCCTTAAAACATTTTTATTTAACTTAGTATACATTTGTTTACCTTGATTACTTCTATGAACTTGCGAAGTTTTCACATTCGTGTTTTCTTTAAGATTCAAATTAATGAGAATATGGTACACCTTGAAAAATAAAAGAAATACTGTCATCTGTATCGTCACCATTGTGAATAGAAAGATAACGTCATTATTTGCACATTAACTTCTTTCATCGATATATTTTGTCGGTTTAGTGCCAAAGCTAGTGAGTTTGAATTCTGTCTATTTTTTAAAGTTTTTTTTTATTTATTACCACCGTGGAGTCAGCTCATAATTTGATGGTAACCGGCCCTGCATCACTAGTGCATCCAGTTAATCAGAATAACGCACGACTGTCCAGTTTTCACGACACGGTAACGCACTGAAAACAGAGTTCTCTTCTTGAGTCTTCCCAAGACACTAAACATGGGCGCCCTGAGACTGCTCCTTTCATTTATTACTGGACGCAGGTTTTTTTTATTTTTGAATGTTGATGACTTTTAATTTTATTGTTGTGGGAAGCACGTTGACAAACGCATTTAGTCCCTACGTTCAAGGCACAGTCCGTACGTTGTGAATTTCAAGAATTCAATTGCTTTCTATTCAAACTTTAACTTATTCGAAATTTGAAAAAACTGCCTCAAATAACATCAAAACTATTTGTTCAAGCGTCAAAATGGGAAATAGAAATGGAAATGTCAATGACGAATGTTGTCGATTGACGATGTCGTCAGATGACGTTGACAGCGTATTTTTCAAATATCATTTAATTAAAGCTGAAACGGCCCGATTAATCGTTGTGTGTAAACGTACCTTAAGAAAGATTTTTCAGAAAGAAATATTATATAGTCTGAATTACTTACCAATAAAGTCTGAATTACTTACCAATAAAGTTCGAAGTGAAGGTCGAAAAAAGGAGTTGGGATCTTCAATACCATCATAAATTTCCTTTTTTGACGCACAGAATACCGCACTAACGAGATCAACTAAAACATTAAAGTATCAATATCATATTAAAAACTATTTAGTATTTATAGAACAACTCATATTTTGACCGATAGCAGTGCACAGTTATTTCAAAGAGGATTGAAAATAATCTGAATAATACCTTCATCATCTGTTTTGAATCGTTTCCAAAATCCCGGCAAAGGCCCGCTATCACATGGCGCTTCAAACTTAAAGGAATAAAATGAAATTGTTTTGGTCGCGTTTGAAGACATTAGAGGAATGTATCCCCAAATTAGAGGAATTAAGACACGGATTTCACTAACTGTAGCCTATCACCTACTGTAACATAACATGATTATACTCCTTTCTTCAGTTCATAGGCCGAAATGAACGTTGTTTATCATTAACACGAAAAGTCAAACTACAATCATGGAACAATTACTTTGGGACAAGTTGAAAACTTTTATTATTTGAAAAGAAAGTACATTATTTTGGGCTTACCTTCCCATACAATGTTGTGTTCAAGAACATATGATAATCACGAGTATTAGTCAACATTTTGCGATAGAAAATAGCCGCGGCACCAACATTGTAAGGTGGGGGAAGGGGGGGAGGGCAGGGTTACGTTTATGTATGAATGTACGATCTGCGGCAATAGTTTAAAAGCTGCCTGTAATATTTCCAATTAATTGGAAATATTATCCTGGAATAGGCGCATAATATTCTTAAATATTCTTTGGGATTGGTAAGAAAACACATTTAGTAATTGGTGAGGTGTAAATAAACATAGCTGAACATATGAAACGTACCATCCAGAAAAAGAGGACAACTTTTTCAATAAAATCGTTCATTGTGAAAATTTAAGCAATTGTTAAGTTTGCTTTTTCGTGTAGTTCAAAGTTTTAAATTGAATACTGATCGCTTCTCTCTCGCTATTGCTTAATTGGCTTGTGTGTTTGTCTATGTGTGAGTTTGTTTGAAAATAATTAATGTTTTGGGGCAAACATTTGGAAAATAGTTTTTAAATAAAAAATATGCTTGTAATAATAAATAGTAAACAACCAAAGTACCGTCACTCTTTCATGGAAAATATTGTCGCAGGTGAAAAATTGTTTTGAAAATTGAATTGCAAAAATAGGTAACAAAAAAATTAGGCAGCACGTTTTCATACTGATTCTAATAGCGCATGACGTGCCTATTTAGGACTGGGCTACAGTAATTTTCTACATGATTACTGGATGTTCTAATTTGGACATTCGATCAAGTGCATGCTCGGTGAGCACACGAGATGCAGCAGACCGCAGCGTATCCTGGAAGTAGAGTCCTAAAAGAATTGACCATTTGCGTAATAGACTAAATTTTGATCTCAACAAAAATTTCATTACAGCTTGAAAGAGCATCACAAAATTAGTAATATTCCAAAGTTTCGTTGCAAAATGTTGTAAAATGCGGAAAATATAGCCTTGCGAAATTTGCAATTTTCAGTCATTTTAGATTACAAACCGGAAATTGACAGC